TATATATATATATATATATATATATATATATATATATTGTATTGACAGTTGAGCATTTATCCCGCTTACTCTCTCTACCCACTTTCTCTCTCTCCCCCCTCTCTCTCTCTCTCTGAATATCTCTCCCTCACTCTCTCCCTCTCTCTCACGCGCGCACGCTGGTCCCTTCCTTTTTCTCTATCTCTCTCGTGCGCGCCGGTCGTAGGCCAAGAACATTTTCTCCGGTCGTTCTCATGGGTTCAAACTATGCGGGCGGGCCGACGGTACGTGTGCATACTGAAATCGGATATACATATACTTCACTTTGCTCGCAGCATCGCGACACGAATCGCAGCTATGCTAATGTACAGGAAAATGGCGCTCCGACGTCGGTCGCCGTTGACTGCCAAGATAATATTCTTCGGCCGTTCTTATACGTTCAAACTGGAGCCGGGCAGGCTGACAGCACGTGTGTTTGGTAAAATCGGTAAGAAAAAGTAGACAAGCAAAGCTGGCCGATGGGTCAGTGGTTTCCTCTCCAACTAATCTAGCTAAACAATGGGGGCCCTGGTGGGGGAATATTTGGGGGCGTCTGGTGGGCACACCCCACCAGTGAAAAATTATGGCAGCGGCCATTCATGATACTTGGGACTATGCCGAACATGGTCCAATGGGTTCCAGAAGGTTTCCTTTCCAACTAATCTAGCTCAATTTTAGGGGTGGGGCATTTGGGGCATCTGGCGGTTACACCCACCACTAAAATGTTCTGGAACTGGCCATTCATGATACCTGGGACTATGCCGAACATTTCCCAATGGATTCCAGAAGGTTTTCATTCCAGCTAATCTAGCTCAATTTTAAGGGTGGTAAATTTGGGGGCGTCTGGTGGACACACCCCACCAGTGAAAAGTTCTGGCAGCGGCCATTCACGATACATGGGATTATACCGAACATTTTCCAATGGGTCCCAGAAGGTTTTCTTTCCAGCTAATCTAGCTCAATTTTGTACCGAGGTACCGGTTTTGTAAGTCTGGCGGATACACCCCACCACTGAAAAATTATCTCAGTGTCCATTCATGATACCTGGGACCATGGCGAACATTTTCCAAATGGTTCCAGCTAATCTAGCTCAATTTTGGGGGTGCTTTTTAAATGACCCCGCTGACCACACCCGCCACCGGGTGCCCGGCAGACGTCAATTTTCTTACATGTACATGAATCAGTGAGGTATCATTAAGTGAGGTGTCCGTTCACTCGAGGTCCGATAAAGCGCGGGTACCATTGTATTCTCGTATATACCATGTTCTTATATTATTTGTACGTTTTCTGCCAGCTCGATTTTGGAATATCAACCTCTACTCGAATTGCAGCCCTAGCTGCGTTGCCGGTTGTAACGAGACCGACTTTATAGAGAGTATATCGCATGCGTACTACCCGGCACCACATCTGCTCGAATTTGGAGCGGAATACTTCAACGATTCGCGCCTCCTACAGGAAGATGTCACGACTGCCTTGCGGTACGTCAGGTCATTTCGATGACGTCCTGGTTTGTTTGTTTGTTTCGTTTCGATTAGAGGTATTTACAGGCGTAAAATTGTTAATTCTGGCGTAGAAAGAAGAGATGAGAAGCACTTATAAGCGTTTCTGTAATTCTGTTGACAAGTCGCTGAGAGTACAAAGCAATGCGCAAGTAATAGATAATAAATAATAATAATAACAACAACATTATAATAATCATGATGATAATATTAATAATAATAATAATGAACATATTAGCTCAATAGCGTTAACGGAGTTGAGATATACGAAAGAACACAGTGATAGATGAATTATAAAATTCCGCTTCTGAATATATTGACCGAACAAAAATAATATTGTTACTCCGCTTGTGCACGTGCGTGCGCGTGTGTGGGCGCGCGTGCAGGTGTGTGGGCGTGCGTGCGGGTATGTCTGTATGTATGGGTCTGCGGACGTGCACGTGTGTATGGGAGTGTGTGCGGGTATGTCTGTGTGTGCGTGCGCGCGCTTGTGTGCGTGCGCGTGTGCGTGCATATGTGTTCGTGTGTGCGTGCATGCGTGCGTGCGCGTGCATTGGCCACAGAATCAACTATTCAATTTTTCTCGCTCAGGAAAAATGCACTGGGGATAAGGATCTTCTACGAGACAATGTTCATCAATGTCGCCAACCTCAACTTCGCGTACAGTTATAAAGAATTTTTCAGTAAGTGACCTGATCTTAGATCTCTACAACATCGTTCTACAAGTGTTGCGACTAGCTGGTAGTAAAATCTTACACAAAACAATGATTGCATTCCAACAAAATCGTTGCCTACGCTCATCAAAAGACGTGAGCATTGAAAGCAATATCAAATGTAAGAAATCAAATATAATCATAATCAATTATAAATATATAATCAAATGAAAGAAATCTGCTCAATAATTGCTTACTGCTACTTACTAGATTACTTACTATAGAAACCATTATCTACGCTTACTGATCTCTGCTACGTGTGCGCCTGCGTTCTAGTACAGTTACTGTCAGGTATCGTGTATCATTGCAGGTGACCTGGGTGGAGCGATGGGCTTACTTGCTGGGGCAAGCGTTCTCAGTATTTACGAAATTTTCGATGCTTGGCTCGTCTATTACTTGAGGAAGATCAAGAAGGATAAATCACAAGGAACGTCTGGAGTTAGTGATCTTCGTGGAATGCCTCACTGAAATGCCTTCATCGTAGTCAATATTGGGGCTCGCGAGGTGTTGGGGACAGGGCGTGGCTCCATATATACTTTATATAACATCCTACATGCTCTGCTCGCTCGCGCACACTTCCTTCTCACTCAGCTTCTTCTGCAGGCCGGACAGCGAGGCTTCCTTCTCACTCAGCTCCTTTTGCAGGCCGGACAGCGAGGCTTCCTTCTCATGCAGCACCTCTTCGAAGCTGGTTATAGAAGCTTCCTTCCCAAGTAGCTCCTCCTTTAGGCTGGAAACAGTAGCTTCTTTTTCGTGCAGCTACTCTTGGAAGCTGCTCAGGGAGACTTCCTTTTCGCTCAGCACTTCCTCTAGAAGACAGTGCTCCTCGAGAACCTCCTGCATGTCGCGCAGCGTCGGCTTCCGACGGTCGCCGCCACCGTGTGGAACCACCTCATCAGCCGATTCGTCTGCACTTGACAAGGATTGATCGCTCTCATAATACAGGCGTGAGGTAGCGGAGGTGGTGGACGTGATGCTCTCTGCATCCGAAACTGCCTCCGCATCACGCATGATTGTCACAACCTTACGCTTCTTGCCTTCTTTCTTTGTCTTTTGAAATTTCACCAGCAGCTCACGACCGGCTGCCAACTTTCATTTTCTCTCCTCGTCTTCCATCTCAAACACTGTCCTCTGAAACTTCGCTAGCAGCTCACGACCGGCTGCCAACTTTCGTTTTTGCTCCTCGTGTTCTATCTCTAATACGCCATATCTTCTTCTCTCCTCCTTTTACTAATGCGCGAACAAATGGTGTCTGTTTGGTCCCATCCAACGCCTTGCATCTCCAACTCGGCTCCGACTGTCTGGCGTGTCGTTCGTCGTCTCGCCATCACATCGCAATCTCGGGTTACGGCACCACTGTAACGGATTTGCTATTCCTCCACCTAACCGGCTACTTGACTACTACCATTAGCCGTGGTATAAGTCCGGTTGCCGTTGTCGCCGCGCACCCTGACAGGGCCGTTACTCCCCGTCCTTTACGATTCGATTACAAGGATCGAGAGCACTGGACAAGGCAGAGGCAGCCAAACACCTGAGCACCGTGAAAAAGGGGGGTTCCGGTCGTCCAGTGAGAGATACGGAGGGGGGGGGGTATACTAGCCACGAAGTGAGAAGTGAGAAGTATTTATTCGGTAACGCGTGCTAAACAAGCAGTTAACACATTAACCAATTATACAGCAACAGCAGCACATTCGCTCCGAGCCAGACTCGAGTCATCATCGCGCGCAATTCGACGCGTAAGACCATCACGCCACCGTAACACGCGAACTAATAATCACTACGTGCGATTTAAACACCAGTGCCTATACATCACAAATACGTTCGAATAACAGATCACTTCGCTATACCGTAGACTGTCTAACGAGCGTCGTCCTCGCGGTGGCGACCCCTGGTGTACAAAGTATGCAAAAGCTCGGTTCGCTGGGCAAATGCAAATTGTTGAGAAAAACCTGCGATTGTCAGCGTGAGCTTCTGTAGTCTGTAGTAACGTGAGTGTAAGCAC